CAAGAAGGTTAGTTCCACCAGTCTGGTATTTTTAATTATTGTGTGTCATGTAGATAAATCTTGGGCAAAGACCAGTTGCTCTCAGATAAACCTCACCTAGACATATATTTCTTGATCTGCTATGTATAATTTGTCAGTAGGTTGTAGGAGTAATATGGTTCCCTCTGGCTTTCAAAACTAGCTAGGCATTTTTTATCTCTTGCATTGTAAGAAGGAGCTCAAGAGAGGTAGGACCATAGGAGAAGGGTATTAGTAAGGGAGAAAGGGGGAAATGGGGGCACCTTAAGTGGGAAAGCCATGATGGAGGGGTGAGACAATGCAAAATCAGACAACTTTTGAATCAAGTATACACATGTGCATACTAGATTATAAAATAGCTAGAGGGATGGAACATTGTTGTCCTGAGTCATTATGTAAAAAAACTCATCCTTTGTTTACATTTTTTAATCCACATTTATAAGACTCTATGTGCCAGGCAAAGTTTTAAGGGCTTTACAAAAGCTATCATACTGACCCTTCATATTGATCCAGTGAGGTAACTACTATTATTCTTCTTGTATCACATTGTGAAATAATGAAACCTATGGAACAGAGAAGTTAAGCAGTTTACCTGATGTAACACAGCTAACAGGTGTCAGCCAGGATTCAAACTTGAGTAGAATCTTTAACCTTTACAGTCACGTACTAGATAGTATTTCTTAAACTTTTCAAGCATTAACCCCAAATAAGACATAGATTTTACATTTCAAGTCAGGGTACACATATGTACATACAATTGTAAATGAAGTTTCATGAATTAATACCCTTTCTGTAAGCAATGGAGCCTGAAATTCTTCATGTATTTTTCTGTAAATAAGCATGCCAGCTGTGATTCACTGAGTGGACTTCTTGTTTTACTTTAAAAACTTCCAGTTTCAAAGTATACTTGATAATCTCCACATCTGCCTGAGAGGGAACTATGACTCCTGTTCAGGCTAAGACTTTCCAGATCTGAACTGGTCAAACTCAATGTGTGCCTATAAATAAAAGATGGTCA